GAGAGTTAGGTGTCTTATGAGGACCAGTTATCAAGAACCATCTCCCGTCTATGACGCTCGATGTGGTCGTTCCGATAAAAGGTACTACCTCTATAACACAACCCTACACCCCCTTTCTCTGTATATCTCATTGTAATGTTTTATACATGGTTATTGTTCTTTTTTCCCTTTTTTCTTTCATCAGCTGCAGAACCTCTGTCGTCATCCATGTCTTATTCTTACCTTCTTTGTTCTTCATAAAATTGTCTTTAATGTCGTCTATCGTTTTATTAAGAGATTCTATCATCTCTTCTGCGATTTCCGTTGTATTATCAATTTATTTGAATTTTCTATTTACTGTTTTGCTGACTATTTCTTTTACTTCACCACATTTCAGTTTTCTCATGTCATGTTGTTTTACAGTTTTTCTCGTGTTTTCTTTAACTTGATTCTATACACGCCCACTAAAAGATTGTGGTCAGATTGAATATCAGCGCCTGGGTAGGTTTTAACACTGTTGAAACTATTATGATATCTTTTGTTAACAAGTATATAGTCTATTTGGTGTCTTATAATAACGTCTTCTCCGTTGTCTCTAGGTAATTTCCATGTATACAGGCGTCTAGGTGGTAGTTTGTAAAATGTGTTTTGTTTCTCCTTGTTGATTTCTCTCTCCTAATCCATAAGCAATATATGATTGAGAGCGTAATACCCTTGGTGGTGCTAAATTTTTCTCTTATTTTGCTTTCCTTAAGAACCATATTTTCTGTTTTTTACAGAATTATCCGATGTTCTATATCAGCTAATAAATATAACAGTTATGCTCGACAAAAAATATGACCCAAGATTTAGAAAAATCTTAAGAACATCGTTTCTGTTTCTTCATGTGCTGTGCTCGATTATCGAGCATTGGCTATCAAATTGTCTATAGTAATTTTGTTGACGGCAGCTCGGAAAAGAGATGAAGAGGATCTGTTAAACCAATCTCTCAGGTTTCTAAGCCATGACGTTCTTCTTCGGCCTGGCCCTCTTCTTCCGTCTACCTTGCCTTGTATTATTAAATGGAGTATATTATATCTCTCTAGGTGGCGCATAACATGGCCAAAATATTCAAGTCTGCGATTTTTAACTGTTTTGACGACTTCCGTAACTTTTCCCATCCGATGCACAACAACTTCGTTACGAACTTTATCCACCGAACTTATTCGTAGGATTCTCCGATACATCCAGATTTCGAAGGCTTCCAGTTTCTTGAGAAGTTTATCCGTCCAACCTTCGACACCATACAAATGAGTAGAGAACACATAACATCTCACTAATCTAATTTTCAGACTTAAAGTAATATTGTTTCCACATAACAGTTTCTTCATCTTAAATAATGCAGCTCTGGCCTTCTCTATCCGTATTCTAATTTCTTTGCTCATGTCCCAGTTCTCATTTAGATTACAACCAAGGTAAGTTATACTGTTAGTTCTCTCCAGTTGTTCACCATAAGCTGTTACCACTTCCGGTTGTATTGGCTTTTTACTGACGACCATCACATTTGTCTTTGCGGTGTTTAGCTTAAGGCCATATTCATCACACATTGTGGTAATCCTATTAATTAGATATTGAAGTTCTTCGGAATTGCTTGAAATTCACACTGTGCCATCCGCATATCTCAAATTATTAATATTGACGCCATTCATTTTTATACCACATTAAACATTATCCACTGCTTTATTGAAAACGAATTTAGAATATATGTTAAATAGTAGCGGGGACAAAATGCAGCCCTGTCCCAGTACCTGCTGAAGAATGGCTATCATTTCAGTATGTTTTACTCGATCAAAGGCCTTCTCAAAGTCAATAAAACACATATAAACTGGATGTCCGACATATCTGCATCTCTGTACCATAACCTGAATACTAAATAGTGCTTCTCTTGTTCCAAGGTTATTGCGGAATCCAAACTGTGTGTCAGCAAGTTTTTGTTCTATTTTTTGGTATATCCTAGAGTGCAAAATTCGTAGAAATATCTTTAAAACATGACCCATCAAGCTGATGGTTCCGTAGTCACTACATCTTTTTGCATTTGCTTTTCGGTAGCAAGGTATCGTCACAAAAGTCGACAGTCGCCAATCCGTTGGTATATAGAACATCGTTTGAATATAATTATTAAGGTGTTACTAAAAAAATGTTTTTTTTTTAATTTATATTGTACCTATACTAAAAATTATTTTAAGAAAGTAAGGCGAAAACAATTTCTTTGACTAATTATTATAAAAAAAAAAAAATAGAAACTTTCATTCTGAATTATTTTTATTTTCTCTTTTTGTTTTGTATAATAATCAAACTTTTTAGGTATCAATACATGATTTATTCTTAACCACAATAATATAGCGTAAAATTGTCGTTTTCACAATTAAATTCGAATCACCACGTTATTAAATTTTTATGTGAAAAATATAAACGAATCATTACACTTGTTGTGGTTGATTATTTAATAACTATGATGATATTTGTCTGCAGGTTTAGTTTAATTGGGTACACATCATTTAGTCAGTTTTTTTTCTTTATATTACTTACTTTTTATTTATCGACATCAACCTTGCAAGGTTATTAACATATTAAGGACTTTTTTGTATAACCGGTTATCTTAAAGAAATCGTGGAAAAACAATGGAAAAACATTAAAAATAATATACATAAAGCTTCACAAAATGTTCTGGGTTACAAACGAATACAAGCAAAGAAAAGTTCGATGACACAGAAAATTCTGAACATGATGGAAAAAAGAAGAAATTTAAAGAATAATGACAAAGAATACATAGAAATAAATAAGGGTACCAAAAAGAAAATAAGAGGGACTAAAAATAAATAGATAATTAAAAATTGCGAGGTAGCAGAGTTACTACTTGAAAACATGACTCGTCCAACTTCTATAAAAAACTCAAAGAAATTAACAAACACTTTCAGAAAATGTATGCTGGGCATTTACGTTCCAACTTTCGGTCCCAAAATACTTAGTAGTACTACTAGTTGGATAGAAAGTGGCGGAGTCGTCCAAGTAGTTGGACGAATATCCAACTACTATAGAAAATGTCACACCGAGAGTGCAGTACGGCTAATATAGAAATGCACAATTGCCAAATTTCACGCCTTGTGCTTGGCGATACAAACAGGTCCAAGTGGTAGTCACAGAACCGTACCCAGATCTCTACGCCGGGCTCTGTTATTTATTATAAAATAATATATTGATAAAATAATTGCCTTCCAGTATTCACCCTCGTCATATGTGAATATTCTAGAATTTGATTGACACACTCGTTTTTTACGTTTTTTTTTGGCGATTTCAACGTTCCACTCTGTTCTTTTTCTTTTTTGAATTTGTAAATGCTTCTTTCGCTAACACCAGTCATCAACGAAGTACGTCTTACAGCAGCACTTACATTAAGTTGTTCCGTATTTTGTAAAAAATACAACACATTTAACACTACGAGTTTAGCGCAACCGTTAAATAATTCACCGGATTTAAACTTATGGGACTCCATGCTCTCTGTTGAAACTCGGACTAAATTTTGAAGTGTAGTTTCGTTTTCCAAAAGCACTTTTACCCCTACCCATCCTTAGGATGGGTAGGGGATGAAATAGGGAAAGCTTGGAGTTTATCAAATACTAATTATGACAATTATGATGATGCTTTCTGATTAAGAAAGCGAAACGTCTTCAATAAATATCAACTTTGTCTTTTTTCTCCACCTTTTGACCGATAAAAAACCCACCACTCGTCTGAGTGATCGTTAATTTATATTGGATTGACGGTCGTACTCCTTTTCTCGATATATATATATATATATATATATATATATATATATATATATATATATATATATATATTTGATTCTCGGCCTGTTGTTATATATAAAGAAACACCTTTATTTCAGTATGTTTGCCTACAGCGTCTTCAATGAGTAACAGAAGACGTCCAAAACTCTTGAATGCCAGAATACAGGGGAAGAGACCTATTAGAAGACCAAAAATGCGATGAGAAGATGATGTGGATGAGGGGACAAGAAATCTCCATGGCAGTCGATCGTGGAGGAGAATGGCTACAGACCGTAACAAATGAAGAGGTTTGCTAAGGGAAGCCCGGGGTCGAATTGGACTATAGAGCCATAGGATAAATGGCTATTTAATGTTTATATAGCTTTAAACAGTATAATAATACTATATTTCTTATTTTTTCATAAAGATGGAAAGCTTTTTCTGGGAACTCTCAGTGATACATATATGTACCTACACAAAATTCAAAAATTACCACCAAAAGGATGTTGTGATTACTAATTTTTACTAAATTATATCCTCCAAAACACAGTTACAAAAAATACAATATTTGAAAGTCCCTTTTGCTCGTTAAAGGGTTAAGTCCACCGTTTTTGCTTTTAAGTTATTATAAATAATACAAATGCTATTTAAATATTTGCCAAAGGTCAATATATTGTTACGATAAATAAAATATAAATAATGAATATATTATGACGTGTAAAAACTGTAAATACATTATGACTAATCACGTATTTTCTAGATCACGAACCGGCCGAGACGCGGGTAAAAGACCTACCTGACACTATGGGTCCCCCTTCGATATGAAAGCGGTCAACTACTACTCGATCTTTCTGGAAACAGGTTCGAAACTATTCAGGTCAACTTCCGTCTACTTCACGCCAGATCCTTCCAGATAACGGCGTTTCAAATAAATAACGGCGATTCTCATTGAGGACAGTTAGTCAACAAGAAGATCGCGATCTCGCGTTAAATTGTTCGAACGCAAATAAATTATTTGTAATTATTAAGTGTAAAATAAATTAGTATAAAATAAAGTCTTTTGATAAATTATCGTGAGTTTTCATAAATTAGAATAAAGACAATAAATTAGGACTATAAAAGTATTATAATATCAATACTATCCCTCTTACATCAGAGACACGTTTCTATAAACCCATGAGTTACGCAAATAAGATAAATAGATAAAATACTTACAGGTAATTTCCACATTTCATCTATACGTTGATTTGGAAACTTTCCTCTTTTACTTCGCATTAGCATGTATATACATTTGATATCTGGACATGCGTAGAGCAGTTTCTCTACCATAACTTTACCCATAAATCCGCTGCCTCCGGTTATGAAGACAGTTTTCCCTTTGTACCATTTTGAAATTAAGCTTTTCTCTTCAATCATGATTTCACCAGCTCTATAAACAAAAAGTATGTTTTTAAAATATTATTATTTAAATGAGGTTCTTATATGTAAATATTGTAAAACTCACTCATGTAAGTTTTAAATACGCTAAAAGTAAAACTCTGGATGAGTTTTAAGACGGTTTAATTCTTTCTAAAACGACTTCGGAATCGTCGATTTTAACATTTTTTTAACATCTAACGGCATCAAAGTTTCTCTATTTCGATGAACCTCTATCAGGCGATAGTCACACCCATACTTTTGAAAGCAAGACTTATCACCTCCGGTTAACTATTTATCTGGAGGTTTATCCTGCGTCTTTTCAGTCCAGAAAAGTCCAGTCAAATATTTATTTGCCAAATAAAGTACCGAATAAAAAGTTATCTTATATTGAGGACGAGACATCTATAAGCAGTGCATTATATGAAAATCACGATTCATTAACACATAAGTGTCTGAATTTTTAATATTTACATTATAATTATAAAGTAATTATACTAAGGGAAGAAACCCCTACAGAAAATCAAACGGAGCAATGGGCCTGCAACCCATTATCTGTATTCTTATACCGCAAAAAATCCTAATCAGCCTCGGAACAAGACGGAAAACTTAAGACGACAACAGCAACGAAAAAGGACAATGATTTTTGGTACGTGAAATGTGAGGGGTGTTAGAAGTAAGATGGAAGAAATAATACGAGAAATTGACAAAGAGAAAATAGATCTGATAGTACTAACAGAAACAAAGAAAAAAGGACAGGGTACCCAAAATATAGATAAGTATATACACATATATGGTGGAGTAAAAAAGGAAGAACATGCGAAAGGAGGAGTGTCAATACTAGTCAAAAAGAAATATAAGAAAAACATCACTAGCTGGGAAATAATCAATGAACGAATAATAAAGATAAACATAAACTTAAAATCACATCGAATCTCAGTTATTGGTACGTATGGACCCAACGAAGATGCTAGAATAGAGGAAAAAGAAAAGTACTATGAGTCTTTAGATGAAACAATATCACAAATAGGCATCACACGAGAAATTGTGATTTTGGGAGACCTTAACGCCAGAACGGGCAGCAAACAAAACAATAAAGTTACAGGACCTTTCGGTGAAAACGTCTTAAATGATAATGGTAACAGACTGATTGAAGTATGCCAACGAAATTCACTTAGAATCACTAATGGATACTACAAACATAAAGATATCCACACCTATACATGGACACAATACACCAGAAACCTTAGATCAGTAATTGACTATATGATCATTAAACAAAAAACACAGCTCAAAGTGAATGACATAAGAGTATACAGAGGAGCAGAATGTGGCAGCGATCATCATCTAGTTAAAGCGAAAATATACATACCTAGATTTAGAAATGATAAGCATCAACAAAATGGAGCAGAAAATGACGAAGAGCTTACAAATATAGATATACCACACTACAATATTAATAGCTTGGAAAATCAAAGCACACAATATTTGTACAAGAGCAGATTGGATCAAGCTCTTCCTAGAGAATACGAACGAGAAACAACGGAAAATCTCTACAGAACAATAATAAATGGAATACACAAAGCGGCACAAGAAACTTTAGGTATCACAACGAAAAAGCGAGAAGTTAGAAATTACTGGTGGAATGATCAGCTAGAAGAAATGAAAAAACATAAACAGGAAGTATACCATAAGTGGCTAAATAACAGAGAAAACGAACAAAAAAAAAGTGAATATCAGCAAGCACGTAGTAAGTTCAAAACGGATGTAATAAACGCCAAAAATCAAAAATGGGAAGATAAATGTCAGGAGATGGACACGTACATCGGAGGACGAAAATCTAGGGAAGCCTGGAGATTTATTAAAAATGTCAGAACTAACAAAAGAGAAGAAACTATGATAAACCCCATAACAACAATGAAATGGGAAGAGCACTACAAAACACTATTAGTAGAAAAAAGACCAGAATACAGTACCACATCACAAAACATAATCGAGATAACAGGACAGCCAATAAATATAAATGAGGAACATATCAAAAAGGCAATAACCTTATTAAAAAACGGCCGCGCCCCAGGTCCGGAAGGAATACCCGCAGAACTACTAAAAAATGGTACTGACAAACTAGCAAAAATAATAACAATATTATTTAACAGATATCTAAATGGAGAACCGGTACCACAGACATGGAAAGAGGGATGGATAACATCTATACACAAGAAAGGTAGTAAACAAGACCCAAATAACTACAGAGGTATTACCGTAACTAGCACACTAAGTCGACTATACGGAAGAATACTAAAAGACCTCATATGTGAAGAGTACCATCCATACGAGTCAGAGGAACAAAGCGGCTTTAGAGCAGGTAGATCCACAATAGACAACATTTTCTGTATAACCCAAGTAATAGAAAAGAGGCTGTCAAGAGCCCAAGAGTTGCATTTGCTTATGGTAGATCTAACAAAGGCATATGACACGGTACCCATTAATAGACTATGGGAAGTACTAGAAAAAACCAGCATAAATGTATCTATCATACAGGCGCTGAAAGAACTATATAGAAACTCGACATCTAAAATTAAAATTGGAAATAGAATATCCAAAGGTTTCCTCGTCACTAAAGGACTAAGGCAAGGATGCTGTGTATCGCCAGTATTATTTAATATATATATTGATGAAGCCCTGAGGCAGTGGAAGAAGAAGTGCAATGGAATGGGACTACCGATAGGAGATACGATACTCTATACGCTACACTATGCAGATGACCAAATTGTAATTGCACAGGACAAAGAAGATCTTGAATATATGACAAGGAAACTGATAGAGGAATACAGAAAATGGGGTCTGGAGGTAAACACCAAAAAAACACAATATCTATGTGTAGGCAGAGAAGAAACAGAGAACCTGAACCTGGAACAGGAGACAATTACAAGCTGTAAGGAATATGTATATCTGGGAATAAAACTAACGAGCACAGGACGAACCGAAGAAAATATTAAAGACAGAATAGTAAAGGGAAGACAGGTGATAGGAGCCCTGAATTCGGTACTGTGGCAAAAAAATATAAGAACAGAAAATAAAAAACGAATTTACAACACAATATTAAAACCAGTGTTAACTTATGGAGCTGAAGTCTGGCAATTAACTAAGAAATACAAGGATAAATTACTAGCCACTGAGATGGATTTTTGGAGAAGGTCAGCAAGAAGATCTAGATTAGAACACATAAGAAACGACGACATTAGACAACAAATGGAAATAGAAAGAACAATCATAGATGACATTGAAAGACAACAGCTAGTATGGTACGGGCACGTAAGACGAATGGAGGAAAGAAGAATCCCCAAGAAAGTGTTAGAATGGACCCCCACAGAAAAACGAAAACGAGGAAGACCAGTAACCACATGGATGAAAGGCATCTCCAAGGCAATGTCGGAACGAAATTTGAGAGATGAACACTGCCATAATAGAAAAGAGTGGCGATTAGGAACGGAAAGGCGTAGAACGCTATAAAACCGGTTTAATATATATATAATATACTGTGTGAAAATACATATAATAAAATATCTTTATCCAACTGCATACACTAAGTATCTGATAAAAACATTTCGTCCACAACTTACTTGGGTGAGAGGAATTGAAGGGGTCAGTGTAAAAACTGTTTAAATCACATTTTTATGTTTCTGAGTTAGATGTGTTTGAAAGTATTAAATGGTTCCCACATCTAGATTTTTAAAAACTAATACGTGTGATTTTTTCATAAACAACGTACACCTTGAAGATATATATTAAACGAGACAATATAATCTAAAAATTAAAAACTGGAGTTAATGCAAAAATATATATCTGAAAATCTTAAGGTTACATCAAATTTTACTCATATATATCAACATCACTTTCGATATGTTCCTCTTTATTCCCAGTGTCATCACGGATTTTGACATCAAAAAGAGTCCTCGTATAGAATTCAATATTACCTAAAATAACTAGTTTGACAAGTTTTGTAATAGCTTCAAACTTTTTGGGTTTCATTTTTAAGTATCTGTTGCCATATTCCAATGAAGGACTGATGGAAATTTTTCTATTCATACCTACTTTATAAACGGTCATGTTTCTACATATTCCTTTCATAGACTCTCTGGTTTGATTACCGCTTACAAATTTGACGAATCTAGTTTTGGTAATACTCGTTACGGAAGTCTTGACATGTGGTATCACCCATAGTTTATAATTTTTTACTTTAAGTACTCTGCTACCTGAAGCTAGATCTCCGCTTGATCTCAGAATGTGTTGAACAAATACAATATCAAAGGAATTCTTTTTTCTACATGTATTAATCAGCTCAATGTAAGTCCCAGGAATATATAGTCAGAAAAATCAACAAAGGTACACTTAGAACGAGAGAGGGACAAATAATAGCATAATCCGACGATATTGTGATAATAACAAAGAACAGAAAAAACATGGAAAGTATGTTAAAAGAATTGATAGCAGAAGGGAAAGTAATGGGATTAGTAATAAATCAAGAAAAACAAAAATAATGAAATTTGACAAAAAATATGAAAACAAAAAGGTTAGACTGGGAGAATATATATTTGAAGAAGTAGAAAAGTTTAAGTATTTGGGAATATTATTAGCAAACAATGGAGAAAGGGAAACAGAAATTAAAGAAAGGATAATTACAGCAAATAAGACATACTATGCAAATAAAAAGCTTCTAAAAAATAAATTACTGAGCAAAAAATCGAAAATGAAAATATATAAAACAATAATTCGACCGACTATGATGTATGCTGCCGAAACCCTTAGCATGACAAAAAACAAGAGGAAGACCTTAGAATACTAGAAAGGAAAATACTAAGAGCAATATTAGGACCAATAAAAATTAATGAAAACCAATATAGACAAAGAACGAATCATGAACTACTAAACGAAATTAAAGAGGATATAGTTTGTAAAATAAAACAGCAAAGGGCAAAATGGCTAGGACATATATGGAGATCAGGACCATCT